CTCCCAGAATTCCCCAGCCAGCATGCTGGCTGGGGAATTCTGGGAGTTGAAGTCCACCCATCTTAAAGTTCCCAAGGTTGAGAAACACTGATCTATAGGAATGAAATGCTCAAGGAGAAAAATTGGTGGCTGATCCAGGTCAGTGATGACAATGCAACTCAGGAAGAAGTAATTTGGGGACACTCTTTGTGGTTTTGAGAAGGGACAAGACAGGAAAAATGCAAGGTCAGGTTCCATGTTCCCCCAGGTGCTCCCAGACTTTTTCAGTGACATTTCGTCTAGGAGTTCTTTTCCCCGTAAGATTAAAATGTGCTTTTCAGGTGGAATAAGTGCATTAAAAAAAAAAAAATCGCAAGACTGTTATATGTAATGTAAGCGGTGCTTCTTGGATCCCCCTTACTCCCATTATTATAAATGTAAATTGTATGTAGGGAATATTATGTGTCATTGTGTAAATAAAGAAGAAGGCTTCATACGAAAAATGGACCTTTTCTCTTTTTTCCCAGAATGAGGGTTGTTCTGATCCAATAGAAAAGCGGAGGAACATATACTGCAAATCCCAAACCGGATTAGGGGTGTCTGCAGAAGGGGAGGAGTCAAAAAAATCAAGATGGCTGGTACATCTGCGCAATTCAAGTCCAGTTGCCTGTAAAAAAAAGGGGTGGGGCTTCAGTTCGGTGGTCACGACTGCCATCTTGACTTTTTTGACACCCATCCACCCATGAGTTCCCCCCAAAGTCCTGAAGGCTGGGATTTACTGAAAGTAAAATCCATCCAGCCCAATTTTAGGGTGACGGGCTGCGCACCAAAAGCATTTTCAGGCTGTTTATAGAGTTAATTCATCAAACAGGGAACTTTTACCTTTAAACTGCTTTTAAAAACCGGTTGGAAAAAATGTGATTTGCGTTTCTGGTCTTGCAAAACTTCTGCCGTGCCCTGAATGCACCCGAGGAAGATAGCTAGCCAATTCCACGAATGAAAACTTTGGAATTTCTTTTCTGTGCTTCCATCAGGCATCTCTCTCTCTCATGATCCATTATTAGGCCCCAATTGCTAAAGACACTGCGATTTGCAAGAATTTTTTTAAAAAGAAGGTAGAACCTGCAGGATTTAAATTTGATTTTAAACGTTGTGTCCTACAGCTTCTTTAAAAGCCAAAAGTGCCCTCCATTTAGCAGAGAGTCCATCCAGAGACCTGGAGTAGGGACAGAGTACACTGTACCCCAAGGCAAGTACCTTGTGATGTGTTAATTTGGGGGTCATTGGCCTTGACGCTACTGCAGGGGCCAACATCTGAACCTAGCTGTGCCTAAGACTTGCAAAGGGCAGGGGAGCTACTGAAGCAAAGCGATGCAGGTGATCCAGTCTGGGACCTAGGGTCCTTGCGAGAGGCCTTGAAGGTCCTCCAGTCTGACCCCTGGCTCACTGTTTTCAAACCTTTTCAGGCTGTGCAACCTGTTAAAAATGCTCCTGGGATCCCTGAGGAAGAGGCCAAGCTCAGAAAAGCAAACATGGAATAAACTTGAAGCCTTCTGCTAGAGCACTTGGAATAGACGACTCTCCAATCTCTGTCTGAAGTCCTCCAGCAAAGAAGAACTCGTGTGGCTGCCTGTTCCCCTGGCTGATAGCTTCAGAAAGTTCTTCTTACTGTCCACCCTGAATCTGCAATGCGCTGCCTCTTTCCAGGGATCCACTTCAATGGGAACGAGCTGATTGAATTGCCGTCGGATCAAACCCCAGTTGAAAACCTGACCAGCCTGGTGGCATTCAGCACCATCGGTGTGACAGATCTTTGAATACATTCTTGCACACTGTCAGGCTCCTCCTCAGCCAGATGTTCAGGGCAGACCTTTGCAAAAGATTTTACGCCATCAGATTATTGCTCTTTCTCAGTCTGTTTTCTGAGTTAATAATACGACAAGTCTCTATTATAATTGCTCTATTATGTCCATTGTCAAGGTCAGGGCCAAGGCCAACTTACTGTAAGAGAACAATCCTCCTCCTGTCGCTAAACACAATACCAGGTTCCTGTTTGCTGTGCAAACTAAGGACGATGTTCTCAATGAACATCTGGTTAAGTGGACACTTTATGTAGCAGCCGCTGGTTTTATATACCTTGTCATTAAAAAATTCTAGCAGGGAACTGCAAACGTAGGAAACAATTTTCCCTCCGGCCAGGAATTAGAAATAAAACCCAATTTGATTCATGGTGTTTCTGCTTTAAGTAGAACAACCAAAGAGGTGGGACAGAGCCGAGACACAATTTTGCACTTGGCTCCTCGAAGATTTAGCCACAAGGTATGTGAAGGCAAATTGCACAAGCCATGGTGTTCCCTGGAACCCTCTATGACAGTGTTTGTCAACCTTGGCAGCTTGAAGATGGGTGGACTCCCAGAATTCCCCAGCCAGCCTTGCTGGCTGCGGAATTCTGGGAGTTGGAGTCCACCCATCTTCAAGCTGCCACGGTTGACAAACACTGCTCTATGGAATCAAAAGTTGGACTTTGAAAAAGCAGGAGAGGAAGAGTATAGACACTTTGAACTTTGGGGTTGGAGAAGACTTCTGAGAATACCATTCCAAGCCAAGAAAACAAACCGATGGATCATCAAACAAAACCCACTCAAGGCCCAAAGGACCAGGCTCAAATGATCCTACTTCAGACACATGATGTGAAGACCCAGCTCTCTGGAGAAGGCTCTGATCCTGGGAAAGGTGGAAGGAAAGAGGAGAAGGGGATGACCAGCAGGCAAGGTGGATAGACTCAGTGACAGTGGTGATGGGGGCATCATTGAGAGGCCTGAAAGACCAGGTTAGGGATAGATCATCATGGAGAACATCTATCTATGCAGTCGCTAGGAGCTGAAAACTACTTGATGGTACATCATCAGTCAATCTGTGTACCCCCAATCCATAAATATATACTGCTCCTACACATCGGGGTTTAATTGCTGGTATGATTTGGAAATCACTGCATCAGCAACGTAGACAAGAAGCCCATTATGGTTGCACCCCAACCTAACGTAACCCTCAGTCTTCAGTTCCAAGCATGGACCTCTCCAAAATCTGATTTTTTTTTCCACTGTTTTTGAGCTTTAGAAAAACTACCTTGAGAAGCTGGGCTGGCTGAATGAAAGCTCTCCGAGAAGCTTTCTAATCAAGCAGAAGCATGGAGAATTCATCTCTTCAGTGGAAGAGAGGGGATGAAGAAGCGAATAATTGATTACAGACCAAGGCCACGTCATAAAAATTAAAACAACCCAATACAATCTGAACACATAACAAGCAAGGGGACTATATGATAACACTTGACAAACAGGCTGTGAACAGGATCTTGGGTGCCCGCCAAGGTTTCTGAAAGCTGCTTCAGCAAAGTTTGAAGGAGACACTTTTTCTGTAACAATCCCAACCCTTTAAAACACGAGCGGGGGAAAGGAACTGAATGTGTTTGTCTGTCTGTGTGTTTAGGCGCCTGTCCAAATCTTGAAAAACTGGCTTGGCACGGACCTCTTGATCATTAGCGAGAAAAACACGCTAAATTTCGCTGCCGCGTTTTTTAAGAAGCGATGTGGAATTCCTAAAATGCATGGGAAGAATGTACAGGACAAACACCTCTTGTCCCCACCTAAACTTGTACGAATTGCATCCAGGGCACATAAAACTTCTATCTGGACCTTTTTATTTGGGTTTGAGTAACAGCGAAAGATGCCAGACTGAGGTCTTGACAGGCATAATAAAGCTGTAATTCTTTAGATCCTGAAAAAGCCACTTTTGATACGAGCAGTTCCACCCCATCCTCCAGCATGAAAACATGCAAGGAACGCATCAACCTTCTCTACAATTTCCTTATCCTTCATGCACACATTTTAAACAATCCTGTTATCTAACAGTCCAACCAACACCCTGTCTGGCTTTCTTGCCCTCAATATGTTTAAATCATGTTTTAACTGCCGGTCCTTCTATTCTTTGCCAGCTTGAAATCTTCCTTTGCCTTCTTTATTGTGTTCCTGGATTTCCTTTGTTAGTAGAAAGAAATGTTCATAGAATGGAGCAGTAGGAAGGGACCCCAAAGATCATGTAGTCCATCCCTCTGCATTCTGCAAGAAAACCAATTAAACCAGCCTCAAGAGGTGACTCTACAGCCTCTTCTTAAAAACCTCCAGAGTTGGAAAACCCATTACCTCCACAGGAAGATTCTTCCACCGTTGTACAGATCTTAAACAGCCTTTCTGAACATTAAAAGGGAGGGAGCATCTTCACCTTGATGGACAGGACAAGCTCTTCCAAAGTAAGAGAACCACAGTCAACTTTTTCTCCCCAACATGCTTTTCCCTTTCGAAATCAAAATAGCAGATAGTTAAACCTAATAGTGGTTTGACCTTTCTAAGTCTAGGGTTGGCCAAAAAGACCATATTGATGGTTCCAGATTAAGAAAATCCCTGATGGGCATATCCATCAGGTAGCTTTCCAACATGGCCATGTGTAATGCTGTTTAACCCTAACTTGCACATAGTCTTATTAGATGAAATGGCACTGCAATTTGTGTGTGTGTGTGTGGGGGGGGTATTTTAATGGTCTTAATCCTGAGAGCCAGTTTGGTGTAGTGGTTAGAGGCATTGGGCTGGAAACCAGGAGACTGCAAGTTCTAGTCCTCCATTAGACCTTCTTTCTCAACCCAAGAGCCAATGTGGTATAGTGGTTAAAGGTGCTGGACTAGAACCCAGAAGACCACGAGTTCTAGTCCTGCTTTAGGCACAAAGCCAA